CCCCCCCGCCCCCTCCGCCTCCCCCCCTCGCCCCCTCCTCCCCAGCCCTCGCCCCTTGTCGCCGCCTCCTCCCCCAGCCCCTTCCCCCACACCCAATTCTCTTCTCCCCATGTTAGCCTCCCATTTTTTCCCGCTCCCCGCCCACTCTTTAGTCGCTGTCTCCTTCCGTTTCCCCCTCCTTGTAACTGTCTCTCTACCTACCTTTGACACCATTTTCTTCAGCATTCCTTCAGTTACCGCCATTGTTTCAGTCTCTCCACCCCCCCCACTGTTTACTCCGCTTGTAATCGACTTCAACTTCCCCCTTCCGCCCAGACCCAGCTGGACCGGAAACTATCGTCAGCGGGTTGAACATGCGCACATCACCCAACTGGAACCGGAAACAAGGCCGCGGTCGGGGCCATGGCGGTGGGCGGAGCTAATGGTGAGGTTTCGTAGTGGGCGGGGCCAATGGTGAGGTCATTTGCAGTGAGCGGGGCTAATGCAGAAAGAAGCCCCTAGTTCTCTCTGTCTGTGTGTGTGTGTGATTCGCGGTGCTGTGCTCTCCATCTCCTCCATCAGTGTGTTTACAGCTTATAAACATGTCAGTGCGCAACCTATTGGCTGGAGGATTCAAAACTGAGCGCTTCCTTTTCGTATTTACATCTTTCGAAGTGAGTCAATTTGGTCCTAAAATGAAGTTTGTGGGGTGTCTGTCTCAGCCAGTCTCCTGCAACTAGGTCCTGAAAACATTTATTCACATTCAGATTAAACCGCAGACCGTTTCAGGTCGGGGAAAGGTCGAATTAACGGCGTGAGACTAACACCATCTCAGCGAGTTTCGGAGACACGTACTTGTGGAGATAGCAAGGACTGCAGATGCTGGAAGTCAAGCGTCGATACAGTGTGGAGCTGGAGGAACACAGTGGGTCAGGTATCTTTAGGGGACAGGAAAGTCGACGTTTCGGGTTGGGACCCTTCGACAGACCTGATGTGTTCCTCCAACTCCACACTGTATCGATACTGGGTGCTTGTCTCAGGTTTCAAAAACTCACCGGCCCTGGGTGTCGTTGATTGGCCAGTATCTATTTGCCTTTCCCTATTTACCCTTGACCTTTAAATTGCAACATAAGCTGCAGGGGGATGTACAGGATTATACCGACAAACGCAGTAGTGCTCTTGTTAGTGAATCAGTAATCTATAGATATAAATTCATAATCCAACCAAAGCAGGGCGATTTTAAATTCAGTGGACCAAGTCAATCTGAAATTTTTAAAAATAGGTAATGGTGACCATCAAATAGTCATTAAAATCCCTCTGCTTCACAGATCTATTAGAGGAATAAACCTGTTTTCAGCTATTCTGACCTGTATGTGACTCCAGATCTACGTGCTTCCTAAGTGCTCTCTGAAACTGCCTAGCAAGGCAAAACAAGGTTGCGAGAATCTACAATCCACATCTGCAAAGGTTAAAGAAAGCAACTTAGTGCCAGCTTGAGAACAAGTGGACTGTGTCTTAAAATGCCTGTAGTGCCCACATCCTGTGACTGGATACAGAAAAATTTGGGGGCACTTCTCTGCACAAAAATCTGACTTGGAAACATCACATTCCTTAAAAACCGAGAGAACTGCGGATGCTGCAAATCAGGAACAAAAATCGAAATGAGGTCTTCTCAATTTAACATTTCTATTTTTAAAGTTTTTAAGTGCCCAAGAAAAAGAGAGTTAACGTTTCGGGTCTGTTGACCTTTCCTTTGGAGGGGTCGGACCCGAAACGTTAACTATTTTTTCTTTCGCAGATGCTGCCAGACCTGCTGAGCTTTTCCAGCACCTTTTTTTTGGACATTCCTTTCCTTGGTTTGTGTATATAATTATCCATTATCGTATCTGTGTTGGTCTTGGGCACTTAATTTAACATTTCTATTTTTAAAGTTTTTGAGAAGACCTCATTTCTATTTTTGTCTGGTGATATCAGACAGGCTTAACAGGTTCATCTATTTTCACTTTGCCTGACTAGCAGTAACCAAAAGTTCAATCTCTGCTGTTCAACTAGTTTTTTAACTGAATGTGTATATACTGCAAATCCAGTCTACCTAACCTCAGTCAAGTCGGGTTTACAAATTGTGAGTAAGAGTTCTACACCATCTTGATGTCATAGAGTCACAGAGTTGTACAGCATGGAAACAGATCTCTGTTTCACTTCCATAATAATAGATATCACTAAAGTTACTGTATTTGCTATGCAATTAGTTTCATGCATGACCTATGTTTTCTGATCCTTCAAATCTTCTCTCTTCCTTAGGAAATAATTCCTGATTTGTGGATGGTGGTCCCATGATGCGCTTGAAGTCTTCAACTATCAGTTGATTATCTTCCTGTTGTATAACTATACTGCATATCTTATGGAATCTAAACATATTTCTCCATTTTTGTGACTAAATGTAATAAATTTACATGCATTTCTAAATGTAACTAATTCATGACAGAAACAGAAGTATAGATATTTTCTTTTTGTGAATAATAATCTTGCAAGATAATACATTTCAAACATTATATTTGAAAATCATCAAATCACATAATCACATCAAATGTTGGTTATAAAATTATTCTATTGTTTTCACTTATTATGGCCTCTGGGATGTGAGACATGGGTGGTTCTGCTCTGTTCTCTTCTATGGCCTTAACCGTGGCATTCCATATCAGTAACTTGCATTTTGAAACAGTGGAGAAACACCAGGAGGACTCTGCTACACTTTGAGAACCAGTGACCTACATCACATACGATTGGGGGATGGAAATTTTCATGCATTTGCACTTCACCTTCATTATAAAAGAAGTGAATGATTGTATTAATTGTTAATTGCTAATTGCACAGGTCTGGACATTTTGCACGTGTGAAGATCCCACAAAGAGCAGTGGTTTGCATTTACCAGTTATTCTGTGTAGTATGATAGCACTCTAGAGATGAATATTGAACAGAATGCTGGGAGAACTTCCTTCTACAGGAAAACAGACTTTTTTTGTAAAATTTAACATGCACCTGAACAGGAAGTGCTGCTACAAAGCCAAGCTAATACCTTTATGTTGAGCTTGGTGGAAGACACCAGTGGTTATATAGAGAACATGGTCACATGTAAATCAAAGGTGTGCAGCTGCCAGTTATAGGATTTGGGCTTTCTGAATAAAAACAGGGCAATGTTAAATGCTGGAAGTTGATGCAGGTTCCTCAGCTTTGCCATCTATCACTTACACTTGCTCCAATCAGCAGCTTAAATTTTTAGCTGCTGAAGTAAGCTTTGTAGGGTTGCTGCACTGCTCCGCAGCTTTGCTTCCTCATCCTGAGACAGCATTGGTGCAGTTACATTCTCTACTCCAGCCATGGTCAGCATGCATGGTAGACTGAGGAATACTTCACCACTGATTTCATACCTGTTCTGTAGGAAAAACATAAACTGGGTTAGTTCTCTCAGAATCAGCGCATGGCCAGGCTAAACAACGATAGTTTCTTTTCTATCTTTTTCTCTTGGGTTTGCATACACCTGTTCAAGACTACCACATTTTACAATTAGGTCAGCCTGAAAACATTCGCTAGTCTAGAGGAGATACTGATTTCAAACAACTTCCATTACAGAACCAGAATACAGTAAGTTAGCCGTCACAGCATTGACCTGTTTGTTTTGCAGGATAAACTTGCTTACATTGAAACCTGGAATAGTGAACGATGAGAGATTATTTATCCAATTGATGTTCTCATACATTAGCTAATCCAGGATCTGACTGCTTCTTGAATATCTTTGACTTTACCACCTTACATGCTGCAAAATTCCAAACATCAAGTGAAATGTACTTTCTCGTAATGAAACATAGGCTATTTAACCCCTCCAGACTATTTCGCCATTGAATGAATCGATGTATCTATCTTGATTTAATCTAACTGCCTTGGTTCCATAACATTTAACACCCTTAGGTAACAAAAGGTCTATCAATCCTACATGAATTTAATTTTTTATTTGGGCTTGTTAAGGGAACAGCTCCAAATTTACATACCCATGATAAAGTTCTTACTGGTATAAACATTCAACAGCCTAACATTAGTTTTAAGTTGCAGCACTTTGTTCTGACTTTATCCATACTAGAGAGGAATCTGTTTAATTCTACCTAACTAGCATCACACCATTATCATCCATGCTCAAGGGAATACAAGCTAAATCTGTGTAAACTGTCCACGTTATTCAACTCATTTAGCCCCGAAATTATTCAGATGAATCTGTGTTGTATCCTCTGACAAGGCCAACATATCTTTGTTAGGAGAGTGGGGTCAGTGAGTTCCCAGAAATGACTCCAGCTTTTGTATTCTTTTACTAATTTCAGTTTATGTCTTTGAATCTGTAGGATCTGGCTTCAACTCTATTATGGGATGACCTTCTCCATCTCAAGCCTGCTTGCTTAACAAATTTCTAGATTATACAGCTGGAACTGGTATAATAATTCCTTATAGCTCACTCCTTTCACACGCTCCTTCCAACAAAACTGTGAGCAAAATTTGGGGCATAGATATTTCATGTGATTTGATGAGAAACATAAGCCTTAGTATTGTTATGACTCCACTGCCCTTGTTTTATTTGTCCACATTCAAACAATTTTAATTATTTCTCCATGTTGTCTACTTATTGAAAACAGGGAACCATCATTACTTCAAGTCCTTTCTATTTGTTCTGGTTATTTTTCACCTGGCATTTGATACTTTACATTTCTAAACATTATGATTCAGCAGAATTTTTGCAGATCCAGTCTGAAGCAAGGATTGGGCTTTACTGGTAGTGCACCTTGTCAATACTCATAACTTTAAATTCATTGGTGAAAAAGACGTTTGAGGGCACCTAAACTATAACAAAACATCCACATAATCAGTCTGTTAAAAAGATAAAATTAAACTCAATCATTATTTTCTTTTCATAATCAAATATGCAGCCAATATCCAAAACAGTCCATCAGCCAGCTCGAGTATTACTATTGCACAATGCATGGTTGCTCTCCTAGGCCTCTTGGATGTGCACATATATCATAGCAGTAAGTCAGAGCAATTCATGGCCACTTCTACTGAAGAAATGCTGCAGTCCTCCAGACACCTTGTCTTTTCGTTGTGGGCCTGGAAATTAATGGAAACTCACCTTCATTAGGGTGGAGACAGAATGTGGACGTCCCAGATTTCTCAGGATAGTCTCAGTTAAATCAGCCACAGACAGACCAACCGACCACGACCTCTGACCTTTCTCCTTTAACCCTTTAACAACCCTGAAATAATGAATAACAATGGATCTGAATCTACAAACACAAGAAAATTGCTTTTGATAGACTTCTTCCAAACTGCTAAAAAGGATTATTTCCAGACTAGTCTGAATATCATTAAAATGCATAGGACAGTTCAGCTGATGAAACTGAACTGTACAAACTAGAAGGTTCAAGTATTAATGGTTAGTTTTTGCTGAGCTATCTGATTCAACCAGGGGTGCAGTCCAATCACTAGTTTGCTTTGGTTTTCTCAATTACAACAGTGACTACACTTTGAATACAGCATTGACTATGAAGTGCTGAGCTGTCTTAAAGGCACAAAAGGCACCATATAAATGCAAGACTACTTTTATTTATCACAGTTTATGGAGGGAAAGGTTACTTGGACTCCCACTCATAATCATGATCCAGTGATAACTACTGGAAGTTCATCAGTGGAATTCCCATGAGGTCCAGATTAGGCTCAGCTGCATTTTGTTTCCATTGCAACTCTCAATAGCTAGACTGACATACGGAGAATAAATACATTACAAATGCAACTAATATCCCATGAAAAGTTTTTATTCTCTTGTGGGATGTGGGTGTCACTGGCTAGCCAGCATTTATTGCTTTCCCCTAATTGCCCTTGAGAAAGTGGTAGTGAGTTGCTTTTTTGAACCCTGAAGTTCATGTGCTGTAGGTTGACTCACAATGCCCTTAGGGAGGGAATTACAGGATTTAACCCAGTGACACTGAAGGAACAGCAATTTATTTCTAAGTCAGGATGTTGAGTGTCTTGCAGGGGAACATTCAGGTGGTGGTGGTCTTATGGATCTGCTGCCCTTGCCCTTCTAAATGGAAGTGGTCATTGAGTCATAGAGCACAGAAACAGACCTTTTGGTCCAACCAGTACATGCCGGCCATAATCCCACCTACCTACACTTGGCCCAAATCCCTCCAAACATTTCTTATTCATGTACTTATCTACATATATCTTTTACATGCTGTAACTGTACCTGCATCCACCACGTCCTCTGGAAGTTCATTCCACACAAAAATCACTCTGTCTAAAAAATTTCCGCTCCCGTCTTTTTTAAATCTTTCTCCTCTCACCTTAAAAATATGCCCTAGAGTCTTGAAATCCCCGAAAGTCTTGAAAGTCACCTACCATTCACCTTATCTACTCCCCTCATCTTTCTGGATTATTATGCTCCAGGGACAGATTTTCAGAGGCTGAGTTTTTACCTCCAGTGAGATGTGGACTGAAGAAGGGATAGAGTCTCTCAGTGAATGTCCCAGTAAAAGTGTAGATTTGCGTCTCATTCTTTGAGTTATAAAAGGACACCTCCCTTCCTCATAATCCTGACAGACCCGGATCTTCCTCGGATTTACTTTCAGGTCTAAACTGATGGTTTCTCAGGAACCCAGTATTTATTCCCCTTTCTCAGAAACACTGTCCAAAATCTGTTACCTGGATTTGCAGAGATTTTCCCCTTCCTGTCAATGGACCCCTTGGTCACACCCAATCCCAATTAATCTTGTTTCCCACCTCCACCTCCCAGGAATGTTTCCCTGATGTGAATGTCTCTGATCCCAGGGCATGGACAGCGATAAAATCTCTCCAGATTGTTGGGAAGCTGCTACCATCCCTTGGCGTTTCTCACAGTACTTAGGTCCTCAGAAAGGCAGGATGGGCTGTGTTAAAGTCCAAGATGACTGGAACTTCACATTCACTAAGAGGTCCTGGGTTTTAAAGGTGCTGCCTTTGGTAATAATGCAATGTATCTTGTAGATCGTACATACTGGTGCTATTGAGCATCAGTGGTGGAGGGAGTGGTTGTGGTGCCAAGAGGCCTACTTTATCCTTTATGGTGCCAAAGCTTCTTGAGTGTTGTTGAGAGCTGCATTCATGCAAGGGAGTATCCCATCACACTCGTGACTTGGGCCTTGCAGATAGTAGACAGGCTTTACGGAGTCAGGAGGCGAGTTACTTGCTCAGTATTCCTAGTCTGTGACTTGCTCTTGTAGCCACTTCATTTAAATGGCAAGTTCTATTGAATGTCTGGTCAATGGTGTGTTCATAGCGGGGGCTTCAGTGATGGTAATACTGTAAAATATCATGGGGCATTGGTTAGATTTTCTCTTATTGGTGATGGTCATAGCCTGGCATTTGTGTTGCCACTTGTCAGCCCAAGC